GTGACGTACATAATGTCATGCTCAATGATGTGATATTTACCACAACTATATCTGCCATTACATTAGCATGTCATTCAAAACTCGAGGGAGTTATATTCACTGCTTTTTTAGAAGTATAATAAAGTATGAATCATTTGAAGTAAATGTATTTAAGCTCCACAGTTTTTCTAACCTGGCTAGATTAATATATAAGTAATTGAGACGTGGTTTTCAAGGGGAAGTTGCTCTCTTAGAACTTTCTATATTCTATATGCATACTACAGGCTCGAATCTCCTTACAAATTGGTTAACCTTGTTTAGGTAGTTGTATGTGACCTCCTTTGAGGATGGAATACATATTTCCACCCAAATGATGATGAAATATTAGAAAAAGTGACTATACCTAAATTTTACCGATGTATCCTCTTATCCACTATTGCAAACATAATTCATGAGTTTTTACTTTTGTTTCCTTATGTTTCTTTTTGTTTCTTTTTTGTGCTTTTTAATTGTTTCTTTCTGTTGTATCTTGTTTAGTTTTGTTGTATCTTGTTGCTTAATGTTTATCATTTTTCAGCTATTGATTTTTATTGTTTATTTTTATTTATGATTCCATTGTATTTGTACGTAGTAATATGATATGTGGGTGGGTGTAGGCACACACCATTGGCTGCTATTTTTGCAAATTATAGATGGATTTATTGATATATCTTCTTTTTTAAATGTTCATAGGAAGTGTAGCAGAAGTTTGGTCATTGTAGGTTGAGACATAAAAAACATACTTCTACGGCGCTCAGTTGTCAAAATTGCCTTTTTACAATACGAAGATGCAAGGATAATGAACAAGGACGTTCGATTATCTGTAATTTTCTGCACTGCTTACATGGTTTGGAAGCCTAGGAATGAGTATATTTTTGCTCATAAGGTGATTAATGTTGATAGTATGTTTTGCAGATTAAACTCTTGCCCTCTTGGTGGAATAAATAAACTTAAAAGGTTTTATTTTCAGATCCTTGAAGTAATCAAAGATAAGACTGGTTTAAGGAAGATTTGTTGTTGTTTCACGTTCTATTTGAGGACTTGTTGCTAGACATACCATTGCAGACTGTATAGTCCTACTAAAAGGGAAAAAGCAGATGACTTATCAAATGATTCCCTCAAAGAAGGGTCAAGGGGAAGAATTGGTGGTTTGATACCCATGAATTCATTTGTGTAAATAAAGAATTGCTGGTTTGGTACTCATAATCTTTGCAGCATGTTCTCATCGTATATGAAAGAGCAAGAAAGAGCAAGTGTAAGACTTGATAGCAAGTAGAGAGGGGTTGCAGTTAGCTAGTTGCTCTAACCTGAGGGAGATTTCAATGTAATAACACCCAACCAACACTTAGGATAGTTTGTGCCACTTCACTTTTCTTATTATTGTTTATGTATTAGAAGTGCAATATTTTTGCTGTGGTTTGGCAACAAGCCTGCTACCTACTCAGTTTGAAAAATGTAAAATTTTAAAGAATAGATTGAGTTATATATTTGTTGTGATGCTTTTACATGTTATTTTTGTTGTTTTTTTGTTGCATCATGTTGCTTTTTGTTGCATAATGTTGCTTATTGTTGTTTGTAGGTGATTTTGAGTTTTGTTGTTTATTTAGATTGATGTTTACCATTGCTACTTTTTTGTAGTAAAAATCATATATAATTATATATTTAATCACGTAAAATGATAATTTGAATCTATGAATATAAACCAACCTCAAGAAACATAAAGGCACAATAAATAAATAAAAATCAAAGTTATCAACAAAAGGAAACAAAAAGAAACAATAGGCAACAAAAACAAACAACAAAATTATATAATAAGTATTTTTAGATTTTGAACAATTTAAAAATGAATTAGATTTTGTAACAATTTTTAAAAAATGAATTATAAGATTTATATTTTTAAACCTTTTCAATGTTTCAATGCTATTGTTTTTCACTTTAACATTTTTTATTTTTGCGTTTTATATTTTTCATGCTATTTTGTTTAATACTTCGTAACTTTTTCTACTTTTTTTTAAATAATTAGTTTCTATTTCTATTTTATTTTATAGCATTTGATTTTAATTTTTAACTATTTCAAATTTATACACGGAGTAGTATTTATTGAATTTAGATTTTTTTTACATTTCATATATTTCAGTTTCTAAAAGAATAAATGTTTCATAGAAGTTTCTAATTGCCTTTCATAATTCTTAATAATTTCAAAAACATTTTTATAATTTTTATTTTTATTTTTTAAGATTATATATGTTTTAGAGTTAAACATTATTCTTTCATTTTTTGAGATATTTTTTATTTATATACTTTCATTTTTGTTTTGTTTTTAATTTAATATATATTTCAATTATTTATATTTTTGATTGTTTTATACGTACTTTTTATAGAAAATTTGGACCATATGAAGTCTTCTAAGAGATTAAAATTACAAGAAAACGTTATTTTTCTACTCTACGAACTATGTTAAACAATTCCTTTTAGTTTAGAGTTTTTTATTTCCAAATTTTCTATACATTTCTTAACATTTTTTCTGATTTATTTTACAGATTTAAATTCCATTTTTTTAATTTAAATTGGAAGTTTTCATCTTTGATTTACTATGCATTATATGATTTTATTATTGATTTTATTTTTTTAGTATTTTAATACTTTTATTATTTTCTAATTATCTTCATGTTTTTACATTTTAGTAAATATTTATTTTTTCCTATTTACAAAAAAATGAAATGAGTAATTCATGGAGTTTGTATAAATTCAACAAAGATTGTGTATAGTCGTATAGGGAAAGCCTACGAAAAAACAAGAAAGCCTACTTACTGCTCTGGCACGCTTCTTTAGAGCACGATTCCAGTAGCTTACTAGTGCTCCGTTAATTGTACGGAGCTATCTTTGAAATAAAAAGTCAAGTTGGTCTAATTTTGAAAAGAACTCTTAAAACTTAAAAAGGTGATATTAATTTCAAGTTTTAGTCCACTTCCGTAAAATTCCCAATTACTAATAGTAATGGCCCAGGGCATTTGTACTCAGCCCAATCGCACAGGCCCGAAATTTTGGAGGGCCCAAAAAACTAGTACTATTACCCAGCCCAAATTCTACCGTCCATTCTACTTCCCATTCTCGCCTAACGACGCCTGCTACTCTAGTCCTCTGGAGACTGGAACGACCGAAGTCACCGAACGACGAAGCCACAAAGAGTAAAGGACGGGAGGACGGGAGGACGAACGAAGACTCGCACAACTGAGCGTCGACGTCTCACCTCCACCACCCAGCGCCAGCCCGCCGGCAGCCACTAGCCCACCGCGCCCCGCCTCCACAATGTGGTCTGACGAGTCAGTCCACTAATTTTTAGCTTTTCCGGTTTGTTTAATTACTATTTGCTAATTACTGTGAATTGTTGATGTATTGAATTGTTGTAATATGTTTATTTTCATTTTTTTTATTTCATTTTTGTTGAATTGTGGCATTGTTGTTATTTGTTGATTTTTTGCACTCAAAGTAAATGATTTATTGGAGTGATAATAAATGTGTAAATGTGTTTAACAATTAAATTATATGTGTAAAGTAGTATAAATTTATTATTAGGTAACTTCAGATTCAAAAATTATAATTATACTTGTATAGTCTCTCATGATTTCACCCTAAATTTAAATTGAATTTTAATTTGACATTGCAAGTTTGGTAGATGACTTTGATCTAAATGCGCTCGAAGAATGTCTCTTTTTAAATAAAATGTATTTTATTAATGATCACTTTTATTTTTATCATTATGTTTATTATTGACTTGTATTTTAAGATGATTTACTATGTTAAAACTTGGGAAAAGGTCCAAATTTTGTTGTTTCACAGAGTCTCCTTTTCCACAGGACCTGCCCTGATTACTATGACTAAGTTACTACTGTACCCACTACACTCAAGATGTCCTATTTTTACAAACAACATTTATTTGTCACATATACAAAATTATTTCTATGGTCTATCATCATTACACCCGTCAATTCGTGTGTGGAGAACTACGTGCAGAATTTTCCTCAGTAATCCAAAATTATTGAGACAATAAGCTTTTATTAGTCATTAAAAATAAAGTATGTATTAAGGTAATACATGTACTCAACTAATAAGATAATGTATTGTAAAACGTTAATTTCCCTATTTCTAGGGGCTTTATCAAATGGAATGAACATACATTTTCCTAGAACCTGTTATCACCGCACATAAATCCAACTTTAATCTCATAATTTTGTTGTTGACATCCCTCCCTTCGATCACATTACTCAAACAACAATCTCCCCAGTCCCCACTTTAAGTTGAGTTTTTATTTATACTTCATACTAGTATATATTACTACCTCCGTCCCCCTAAGTTTGAGACAAGAGAAGGTGACACGGTTTTTAATAAAAGTGGGTTTATTTGGTTGATATTAAATTGATAAAATAAGAATGATTTTGAACCACACAAATTTTACCAAATAAGGTATGCGACAATCTTAGTGGGACGGACTGAAAAGGTAAAACGGGACAATCATAGCGGGACGGAGGGAGTACTATATTACTCATACATAAAATCCATTGAAACATTGGACCATGAGCACGAAATCAATTTTGACACCATTTATCGTTACCATCTCACATTGGTCACATATTTTCACTAGTCCGCCTCTGATTCCCATAGTTCTACTATATCACCATGACATATTCAGACACCTAGCGTTATTGCAATTTTATTTTGCAGGTTACAATTGTATACACCTACATGCATTCTTTTTTAATTAAATAGTTTTTTTTAGTAAGTAGTTTTATTTTAAGGACATGTAATTCCAAAAGGACTTCCTAATACTTGTATATATGTACTAATTTTGTGTACATGTAATTTTCTCATCAGAAAAACTCCCATCTTGAAGTTTCTAAGTGCGAAAAGGTGAAAAAAAAATTAAGGCCAGTGTTTTCTTTAATAGGTATAGGTATGATTAGGCTCAGTTTTGAGTCCTAGAATATCACGATCGTATTTTTGTCCAGTCCAACCGCAACGGCCCAGGACAGACTGGGCAAGAATAGCAAAAAGGCCAGTAATACAGCCTTCAGCCGCTGGAGCACCCAAATTGGTGACGAACACATTTGTCGACCGCCCTACAGCCGACGATTGGCCGCCTGCCACCCAGCCAGGGGCTTCTCAGTCCAATCAGCCCTTCTCACCTTCAGGCTTTGGTGCTTCACGCCTCACGCCTTCACCACTTTAGGCTCTTTAGCTAGATAGGTACTCCTCCGACCTTATTCCTTAATGGCTTAACTCTTTTAGTGTTTCAGACGACCTTTTATTGATTATTTGATTAGTTCACTAATTGATTTAATTTGTAGTTGTTTAATGTTTATTAATGAATAGTTGATAAATAATTAGTTGATTTGTTGGCTGTTATGTGAGGAGTGTTAACAAATGTTTTATGCTTAGTTCATATCTAAGTATCAAGATACAGGTATGGCAGGGAAACATCAAACTAAAAGCTAAAATTTTACTATTAAAAACATATACCTATTATGTGTGGTCATGCTAATGTCCAAAAAATACAAAATCAATAAACCAATTATCTGTCCTTGTTATAATCCTTTCTACATGCATATACTAGTAATAACTAAAATGAATTCAGTGATAAAAGCACTCTACAATTCCATTTGGGGCTCATTTAAAAGGATAAACTAGCAAATTCTAAACAGCTCATTTCTTGATTTTCTTCCAAATGGCTAAACTATATCTGAATAGGCGACAGCGGATACCATTTTTTGCATCTGCTGTCTGTGTGCCTCTGGCCATAGCCTGACACTCTGACTTTCTTCTTTGCCGTCGACACTCGACAGTTACGGTCGAGTGGGGACTGGGAATTCACAAGTCCCATGTATCGTTTCACGGGACTGTTACTGTGTGTCGATTCACAAGTATAGTTTGAGAGGAGGCGCGGCCGACTAAAAGTATGTTTTTGAAATGAGAAACACCTTGACTTGATTAAAAACTGTTTAAAAATTGAATTTAGATTAAGAAATTGTTAAAAATTTGCAATAATATTAAGAACTTTTTGTTTCTCAAAATTCTTAAATGAATTTAGAGAGTTTTCTTAAATTGTCCCAATTTTTTGTTTACTTTAGAACTTTAGAGAGTTTTAAATCTGTGAATGATAAGTATTTAGAGTTCTAAGTTCCAAGGTTCTTTTTCTTCTAATTTATTGAAATAAACTACTACGGTTTACAAGTTTACATTTGATTTTATTTATTTGGAATTGAATTTGATATGTACTTGTTTTTGTTTTTATTAGGAGTATGAGTTTGGATAACTTTTTACTTTTGATTAAGAGGTCTTTGATGTAGGGTCGTAGTTCTTCAACCGTTCCAAACCAATCAATGAATATGAGTTTGGTGTTAAGAGTGGTGCCAGGAGAGAATATGTTGTTGAAGGTGCTTTCAACCTGTGTCTCATAATTTTCCACGAACTTCATTTAGAAAGACATTAAGTTTTTTTCGAGTAGTTTAAAATAGGGTTGACATTTTTAACCGAAAAACTGAACTGAAAAAACCAAACCAACCTCGCTAAAAGAACCTGGAAAAAACGAACCGACATGATTGTGACTAAAAAATTGGGACCCGAATACTAACCGGTTTTTAGGCTTTAAAGAGCTTATTAAACCGAACCAAACCGGCTTTTAATTATTTTAGTTTTTCTATAGCTATTAGTAAATTATTAAATGTTAATATTAGAAAATACTCACATACTTTTACATTTTCTAACAAAATATAGATATTAATAATAATGATAATGGTGATGACTATCATCATAATCATAATACAATAATCCTAATTATAACGCTAATCATAATATTTATACCAACAACAACAATTACAGTATTACAATTGTAGTTAAAATATGGAGTACAGTTACATGAGTTACATGTGGTAATGAAATCTTTCACTATTTCAGCATGCAAGAGTGAATCAGAATCATTTCCATAATCAGAAAGTTGACAGTTATTTAGACATGCGATGTGGACGTAATTGTATAGGCAGTAACATTTTTTTTCTAACTATTCCAATTATATATATATATATGTATATGTATATGTATATATACTACACATAATATTAATGTACTTTTGGTCTCCTTTGGCAGGTATGAGTGAACAGCACACCAAGGTTAAACGTGAGATATCAGCATGCATCGGAAGGGGGCTGATAGATCGTTAGTCTTGGACCATAAATTGAACTGTATGATCCTAGAACCAAAGCTACTATGTAATATTTATAAAATAGGACTATATTACAACTTAAATTCAAAGTTCTATTAATTCACCCACAATATGACAATATCACAATATTGATTATTTTTTAACACTAGGTGAAGACTAAAGTAAAATTCACAACAACCAAATAAAAAACAAGTTGAAAGAAAAAATTGCAAAACAATTTGAACATAATGTTGTGCCATCTTTAGAATTTGTAACTGCAAGTACAAGCAACACTGTAGGTGGGATATCTCCAAGCAACACTCTGCCACACACATAGTGATATACTGATATCTCTTTTTACCTCAATAACTTATTCAAGTCAGAATTTCCATCATTTTTAATGGATCCAAAGACTCACTATTTTTGGCTTGTGAATATGATGGAATAAAGCAAAATGGCTCACTAAACTGTTGGCGCTTCTTTGTTATGAAGCAGTAGCTTGTTCATGCAATTTTTGACGCAATTTTCACCATGAGTTATCTAGAAACAGTCCCTTACCCCACTTTAGGTGGGAGCCTTTGCGGTACTAGGGTAGATGATGAATGATGATGAACTTATTCAAGTCAGAAATTACAATCTTTCATTTCCATTTCCCTTCCCAACAGCCCCTTCACTGTTCCTATCTGTTTTAAGTTGTTGTCCTGTTGCATTTATATTAAATTTCTCTCAGATTTATGTTATTGTAGATCTCTTCTGCAAATCTTGAGCCTGATGATCATCATCCCTGTTTTGGAGTATGAATATTTTCAAACAGTTGGTGCCAATACCATTTTCTTTAAGATGCGCTACGAAGCCTTGTATTGGTAAATTACATCCCTCTTTGTTTTTAGCATTGACATATATCTGCGCGATGCCCAAAAACAATCTCTTCAGTTGAGTGCGTGTTTGGTAAGTATAAAAATGACTGGAGTGGCTGATTTTTTAGCTTATACTTTGTATATTGCAAAATACGTTATTTAATTAATGTAAGAAATAATGCCTAGAAAAAAATGACAAATGTATCTTTATTTTTTCATTTTAGCCAAAAAGTTACTCATGCACACGTTGTTTTTTCAGTGATCAGCCGTTCTCTTTTTCATTCACCTTCCCAAGGCATTGTGGAAGTTCATTCTCAAGAACATGAAGTAGTTATTGCTCTGGGAAGCAATATGGGGGATAGACTTCATAATTTTGATGAAGCCTTGGACCGAATGAGAAAATCGGGGATCAAAATTACCAGACATGGTTGCTTGTACGAGACCCCTCCAGCATATGTCACCAATCAACCCCAGTTTCTCAATTCTGCCATTAGAGCACTTACAAAACTCAAGCCTTTTGAACTCTTACAGGTTCTCAAGAAGATTGAGAAAGATATTGGACGTACGGACGGGATCCGATATGGTCCAAGACCAATCGATTTGGATATATTGTTTTACGGGAAGTTCAAGATACATTCCGAGTCCCTTGTTATCCCACATGAAAGAATCTGGGAGAGACCGTTTGTTGTTGGACCGTTGATTGATCTTCTCGGGTCTGATATCGAAAATGACACTGTAGCATGCTGGCATTCATTTTGTGATCTGGGGCTTTTTGAGTTGTGGGAAAAACTAGACGGAAAAGACGATATGAAACGGGTGTTGCCTGTCGGTGACCGTTTGTGGGACTGGTCATCAAAAACATCTGTAATGGGTATACTTAATTTGACCCCGGATAGTTTTAGTGATGGTGGGAAGTACTTTTCTGTTGATTCTGCAGTTACACAAGCCCGTGCAATGCTTGTGGAAGGCGCGGATATACTTGATCTCGGAGCACAGTCCACCCGCCCAATGGCTTCTAAAATTTCACCAGAAGAAGAACTAGGTAGGCTTTTTTTGCCGGCGTGAAAAGATTGCTCGTCTAAGTGCCTGTTTATTGAAGTTGTGTCTGATTTAATCTGGAAACTTATTTGGAGTATATTTCTTAAGATATAATGACAATAATAGGGATTTATATATTTTATAGGGCTAATATAAAATACTAACAAAAAAATAAATATTTTAATACGCAGTGACCATATTGATATTAGTTATTTAATTTGTTGACCATTTCAATTTATGTTTCAGTGATTATACACAGTGGTTATGTTGGTATTTTCTACAGGTAGACTGATGCCGGTTGTTGAGGCGGTTAAAAAGATGCCCGAGACTGAAGGGAAGCTCATATCCGTGGATACCTTTTATTCGCAGGTCGCCTTAGAAGCCATTAGTAATGGAGTACACATTGTGAATGACATATCGGGTGGACGTATGGATTCCAATATGCATAGTGTCGTTGCAGGCCTCAGAGTTCCTTATATTGCCCTTCACATGAGAGGCTGCCCATCTACGATGCAGAATGCTGAGAATCTGCAGTATGATGATGTGTGTAAAGAAGTTGGACATGAGCTGTATGAACGGGTTCGGGACGCTGAGTTGGCAGGAATTCCAGCTTGGAGGGTCATTGTGGACCCAGGGATTGGGTTCTCAAAGAACACTAAACAGAACCTTGATCTTCTCGCGGGTTTTGGAAGTGTTAGAACTGAGATGGGGAAAAGAAGTTTAGCTGCGTCACACTCCCCCCTCTTGGCTGGACCTTCAAGGAAAAGATTCTTGGGTGAAGTATGTGATCGTCAGGTAGCTTTTGAGCGGGACTCGGCAACTGTTGCTGCTGTCTCTGCTGCTGTTCTGAATGGTGCCAATATTGTAAGAGTACATAATGTTAGAGATAATTTGGATGCTGTAAGGCTCTGTGATGCAATGCTTGGTAGGAGGGATACAATTTATTAGAAAGATGTTAGAAGCTTATCCAACTTCATAGAACTATTTCTGGCAACATATCCCACTTGCAATTGCTGTAAGGCCCAATTTTTTTAAATGTAACTTCTACTCTTTAGAAATTTCGAAATGTTTTTGTGGAAATCGTGAAGTTTTTCTTGGATCTTAAATCATTTTTTAAAGCGTTGTACTAAATCTGTGATTAAGATAGAATACTCCGGCAATACCGCCTTGTTTCCAATACAAGTTAATCTTTTTTAGTAATGAACCCCCATTCGTACTCCATGTGTGCCAAGTATTTTTTTTGCTCGAACAGGGTTTAATTCATAGAAATAGCATTCAGCAAGGGTGCAAAAGTAGAGAAGAACCACATGTAACCATTCGCCCGTGGCCTAGACTGAGAGTAACCACCTGTAAAAAAGCAGTATAACTCGCTAGACCAAAATTGGGCAACTTAAAGCCAATGACGGATTGACGGTTACTGCAGACTTTCAATCCCCCAAACCTAATGCAAGAGTCTTACAACATAAAATAAAATAACAACAAAACACAAACGTCTTAACTTGGAAATTAAAGTGCAGAAAAGGTAAATCATAAGCAAACTCCAAAACGCGTCGATCAACCCTTGGCTGTGGTTCTGGAGGAGGCTTGACCCTCGCAACAATTGTTGATGCACCAATCAGGGGGAGACCGATCAGTTTCGCCACGTTGTCCGTAACTTGCGCTCCGCGGTTCTCCTCATCTGCGACACATCGATCGCCAATCCCCTGCTTACCCGTGCCAGTCATCTCCATCTACAATCGCCCTCCTTCGATCTCAATGTCCAAGCCCTACGGAGAGGGACAACGCCGGACCCAAGCGCCACAATAGGCCGTCTTTTCTCACCCCTCTTTCTCGACCCTAGAAGATGCCCAAGCCCTGCGGCCGAGAGTCGCGACAAAGGAACCTGCTGCACCAAAGGAAGAACGCCGGACGCCGTACCTTGGAAGGCACCGCCAGAAAAACACTGGACGCCGTACCTTGGAAGGCACAGCCGGAAAACAAAACACCACCCTAGGCGGCCATCGGCAACCCTAGGGGAGAAAAAGAGCTCTCGTTTTCAGTTCTAAAATATGTACGCAACACTTCTCAAATATAATAGGGAGTAGTTGTGAGAATAACGAGGAAGCTTATGGATGCCAAGTTTTTGTTTAAGAATAATTTCATAATGGACTAATTTTTTCTTCAATTTGGCAGGTATGATGTATGTATTAATTTCGTTCAGTTTATGGCGACATGGCGTGTTAATGTTGTGATTGGATTTCGTTCAATTACCTAGCAATTTATTAAAATTTTATATTATAAAAAAACTTATAAATTTGTCTTAAAGTAAAACATCAAAATATGATTCGTTTAGTTATTTTTATGAATAGACAATTAAAAATATTAATGATTAAAATTGCGAGTTGGTAAATCAGTAAATGTAAATTTCAAAATAAACTACTCCGTAATATACTCCGAAGTCCGTACTATATCACTCAATCAATATATATTTAAAAGAGAAACTTTTTTAAAACATACGACATGCCACATAATCCTGCCATGTCATCATATATAACAATTACTTAATTACTTTTTATACCTTTTATTTTTTATTACATTCTATTTTTATTGCATATTGATATGGAAAGAAAAGATTGTAGGATAGAATCCGCAAGTTTTTTCATAACCTATTAGTCTATTACTTACTCTGTATTGATTTGGATAGTTATTAAATTAAGCAATTGGAACCACAACAATAAATAGCCATCCGTACACATAGACTATATTTCGTACCAATTATTTTATGAAGTTCTGGCTGAAGTGGCTGTATTGGCTGATTCTGCATATGGTTATCTACAGTAACTTCAGTCAATACTTTAACTTAAAAATTAAATGCTATTGATATATACTATTAATCGTTCATATATGAAAACATTTAAAACTTTATTCATCAAGTACGGAGTATATATATGATCAAGTAGCTTACCTTTATTAGGATGGAAATTCATATTATATATATATATATATATATATATATATATATATATATATATATATATATATGGAGCGGATTAGGTGAGAAGTGCTCTTAGGCTTAGAACTGCGAAGTTAAACTTATAGACTAAATATATGAACTTTTAATCAATAAATCATAACTTATAAACCCCTCGAAAATAATTACGAAAATGCCACCGCAAAAAAAATTACGGAAACCTGGAATTTTTTTTGACGCGATGGCATTTTCATAATTATTATGGAGAGCTTTATAAGTTATGATTTATTGGTTATAAGTTCCTATATTTAGTCTATAAGTTTACTGCGTTGAAAGATCCGATGCAAATCCAAGGGCTAAGATTACTTCTCACTTCTCATTTTAAGGGGTACTTCTCACATAATTTAGCTAATTGTAAATTTGATATTTTCAGAAATCCAAGGGCTGAAATTACTTCAACTTGTTTGGTGAGAAATGTTTAATAATACTTGTTGGTGCATGGTGTGTTACAACCATTCTTGATATATACATATTTTGTACACATTTTATGTACATACATCTCCTAGTTCTCTGTCTAATAGACAGCTTCTGAATGAATTGCACATATAGACAGACAACGAGGAGAGTGCACACAAATTGTGTACAAAATATGTGTATCAACAACATTTGTGGGTATTTTATGAGTTATGATAGCATTTCCGAGCACACAATCTCTTGTAGGCCATGCTATGAAACACTTAGGGAGGGTTTGCAATTGCTTCAACTTTAAAAAATGATTTTTTAAAGTGATTTTGGGAAAGTGAATCATAGTAAAAGTTGGTAGTGTTTGAGAAAAAAGTGATTCTGAAAAAGTAAAAGTTGGTAGTGTTTGGTAAAATAAGTATTTTTTGTGTAATAGAAAAAGTGAAAAGCAGTTTAAAGCACCCTTCCACCTGCTTCCAGCTTTTAGCTTTTAAGTGATTAATTTAAGCAGAAGTTGTCATTTGAAAACACTCTTTTTAGCTTTTTTTAAGCCAAAAGCTGAAAAGCGCTTTTTTTAAGCAATTGCAAACACTCCTTTAGATTCACAAGTCTTGAAATTGCCTGGTACAATATATATATACACAGGTACACTGATTATAAGGCCCAGCTCTTGCCCAAATTTAAAAAATGTTGATTTAATGTGTCAAACAATGTATAAAGTTAATTATTAGAAAAACTCTTTTAGTGATTCACCCTAAATTTTTGTGTGGCTATGTCAAAGTTTCATTGGTTATAAAGTAGTGTTAGTTGAACTCCTCATGTCTGAAAAGAGAATTGCGAGATGCGAATTGGCAACCACGTCCATTGACTCATTGAGGAGACATAACCAAAAGAATGAAGTGAGATGTATTGAGATTGTGAAAAGAGTAACGAAGAGTGTGAGACTTAACAATGAAGGTGTATTAAATCGAAGTTGCACAAATTATTTATTGTCATCTTTAACTCTAATAAAAGGGCTTAACGATCTAAGCCCCGCACAGGCGCACAAAAGGAGCAATTCAAGCTAGGAAACCAAAGTTGTACATATGTTAGGTACATTTTGTTTGCAATTTTTTTTTTATAATCCCGGCCTCGGAGCTTACACTCTGTTAAGACTCGGAGTTCCAGCCTAAACGGTCAACCTAATAGGAGGAATAACTCATGTCTTAATATATTCTGTAGCACTTTGTTGATTCTAATTTTTCCGATGTGGGATTCTAACACATTTTTTATATGTGACATTCTCTTTAACAATGTCATGAGTTTTGAACCACAAGAACATGAAAGCAATGTCATATTTGTTTTCATTGACTAGATCTTAATTCATGATTTGATTAATGTCTCATAATAGATACTACCTGAACCCCTAAGTTTGGGACAAAGGGTTGTGGTGTGGTTTTTAAGAAAAAGTAGAATTGTGTGGTTGATATTGATTTGATAAAGTATGAATAAAGTAAGAATTATTGTAATCACCCAAATATTACCAAATATGATATGTGACAAACTTAAGGGAACAGATGAAAAATGTAAAAGGGGACAAAGTTAGGGGGACGGAGGGAGTATATATTTTCCTAAAAATGATCCTATTAAATCTCCAATTGGCTCCTCTTGCGTGTGTTGCGTAGTTCAGTTGTGATTCAACCAGGCCAGCAGGGACCAGCTAGCTAGATATGAATTTCATATTAGATTATTAGTCAACCTTGGATGATCAACTTGAGTATCTAACAAACTTATTAATCAATGAAGTCCATAAATTTCTGGTTTCATATTTGATGGTCCCTCTACAAAACCACTCATACCAACCTTCACCAACATTTGTGCGCTGCTGTTAATTTCAATATATTACCGAGTACATATTTATTACACTCCTCTCGATCACTAGACGTCCTCATACGGAGTATTTTCTTTTTTATTTGTCTCAATAATATTACATAGTACTCCGTACAAATGCACTATTCAACATATGAGCTGTACTAGGTGTACACAAAATGTGTACACTTTTTCTGTATATTTGTCTGTTCCCCGCATACAAGTTGTCTGTCCACAGAACTCTGCAGATTATCCATTAGTTATATTTCAATAATATTTGTTTTTTTATTTCACAACAAAGTCTAAACTGAGGTAATATATTATACTCCGTATAATCATTGCCATTTTTTTTATGGATTCACTATATGCCTCCTTTAATTTGTTTGACATTTAATCATGCATGGTCATAAAATCCAATTGTAGTTCGTCAACCATTGTGACTGCGTACTGAACTACTTCTACTTTATTCCCCATTTTCAGCCACTATATATTGTATTTTAATCCAATAAACATATAATTTATGACTTCAATTCAAAGAATGCAAATGCGACCTGTCACACATTCACACCAGACAAACTAAACAAACATACATAACTCAACTTTCCGCCATGTACTGTTTCGTTCACTCGTTATTCCAACTTGATTTTATTAAACATTTTGGTCGACACTCAACTAGCTACCTATTGAATGTTTTGATTTGCTAATTTATTGAAATAATTCCATAAGATCCATAGTAATACATGAAATTAACTTGTCATTTGTAAATTGTAATGGAAGCCCTTCACTAATGGGAAATAACGTAGTACAAAATCTTGTTATGAAATCGTATCAATTCCTTATTTCCTCACAAATCCCGTTACAGAACTAACAATTTTATTTTGTAGTACCGTAAATTGTA